TTAAGAGTCACCTCAGTCTTTCTTACGCAAACTGTTTCACAATTGGAGGACCCTCAATGCAAAACCAAAATTCAGGCAGTAATCGGATTTCTGCGTTGATTTGTATTTTGACACTTGATGCTCTTTTGATTCCACGCAGCGACTGGTGGAAATACTTCTGGATCTACTTGCTTGAATTTCTTGATATCATTAGACATCACATTTGATTGGTATATTTATTTTATATGAGCTAGTGGAGTCTTGTGGCTCAGTGGTTAGATCACTTGCCTCGCAAGCGAGCGGACCTGGGTTTGATTCCCAGGCAGGACGAAACGTTGGGCAAGTTTCCTTACTCCACACACACCTGGTTACCCAGAGTAAGTAGGAACCCGGTTGTTAGTCGATTGGCAAATCGCTTTTCTGGGGGTAATAATTCTTTCAGAATAAATTAAAATAATTTGGTCATTCAATCCATGACTGTTTGTCGGACGCTGCTATGCACAATTGGCTGCCGAGTTTCGCCCACAAAATACACAATCAATTCACTATACAGTATATTCTGTGAAGCGCATTCAGACATCTCGAAGAGGTGATTAAGCGCTCTGAGATGCTACCCCGCGTGGAGGGCGCTATATAAGTGCAAGTTGTTGTTATAAGGCAAGGATTATTATTATGTCTGTGGGACATTGCTGTTTGCAAGTTAGTTGCTGTATTTGCTTACAAGATACATACAGTCGCTACACTTTACTGCAGGAATAAGCTTTCGGTTAAAACACTGGGATCTGTTGCAAACGGTTGAGAAAGAATGAGAGTCTATTCAGGTAAACAAAGGAATTCTTTACAAACTCGCCTCATACAAAGGAAGAAGTAACCCACGGAACAGAATCCCTTTAGAGGAACTGTATTTGAATATTATGATTTGTTTCCACAAATGTACTTACAGACAATGCATTGTGTTTGTATGTTGTCGTACTTCAACGATTAAAATCGCAATTAAGAACTTCAATGTTCACAGCTACTACCTTTCAGGGAAGTAAAAATACAGTTTTTTTTTAAATCGCCTACAAAATACACAGTCAATCCACATCGCAATATATACTGCGAAGCGCTTTGAGACGTCTCAATGACGTGATTTGCTGTCGTTGTTGTGATAAGGCGCTATTTCAGATGCAAAGATTATTATTATTATTATTAAGTATAAATTTTGCACTCATTTGGATGAGGAACAGAGAAATTAAACATTCATAAGAACGAAGAATTTATTGGGCGGAAAGAAGACCAAGGTCCATATAGTTCGCCTTCCACCATCCATGGCAGTCGCTTGACATGTCGTGTCCACTTGACATTCTAGAAAATTGATATATAGCCATGGGGACGTGTCTGTCTTCCCCGACTCTGATGTCGCATTAGGTTTCTGATGATGATTACTGACTCATAATGGGATTTAGTTCCATGGGCTCTGCCCCAAGGAACCACCTCACATCATGATTCCACGCAATCTACACAAACACCTGATAATAACCAGAAGCTGATGAAAGAAATATGGGAATATGGGGCACAATGGGCCCCATTGAATTGCCTTTAAGGTTTTCAACCCCAAAAGGGTTCCGTTACAGTATTCCTCTAACACTGGGGACTATCCTTGTTGCTCCTCCTCTACAATGCCTCTGACAGCCCAGTTAATCCGCTTATGCAGCGGTGACCAGAACTGGACATGTGGCCTGACCAGAGCCCTACACAGCCTGGGTGTGACTCACAAGTTTAGACCAGTAATCCACCCAAATAAAAATAAAATGGTCATTCACTTCACAGTTGTTTGTGAAATATTTGCTCTGCGCAAATTGGCTGTCCCTTTAGCCTAAAAGTATACACTACACTTTACTGGATATTTGTAAAGCACTTTTGAGACATCCTCTCGACCTGAAAGGCACTATATCTAATGGAAAGATTATTATTATTAAGACATTTCTATTTTGTATGACTTTAGGATGACAATGCTGACCCCACTGAAATATTAACACGTGTTTTGTGAAATCAACCTCTGTGGAATTGCACTTGCTTAGGCGGGCAACTCAAAATTTCAGTTCTCTATGGTGTGGCCAAGGGTGGAGTTCAGTAGATTAGTGGTGAGAGCACTCGCCTCGCAAGTGGTTCAATTCCCGGGCAGAGCGAAACGCTGGGCAAGTTTCCTTACTCCACCCACCTCTGTTTACGTAGCAGTAAGTTAGTCGATTGGAGGATCGCTTTTCTGGGGATAATAATTTCTAAAAAAAATAATAAATTGGTCACTTCAGTCCATGACTGTTTGTGAGACACTGCCGTGCGCTACCGCAAATATATAGTCAATTCACTTTACAGTATATTCTGTGAAGTGCTTTGAGACGTCTCGACGTGATAAGGCGCTATATCAAATTCAAGGATTATTATATTATATTCGTCTACCCCCCTAATCACCCACTCAGGTGATTCCTAGCAGAACTGCTCAGCATCTCTTGCATTGCAATCACATTGATAGTGTTGGCAAACCCAGTTGTTTTTCTGATCAGCTTTCCATAGTTGCTGGACCTGCTCTGTCAGTTATTCAGAATCAGTGACATCTGTCAGAATAACCGACGACAAATGCAATGAGTTAAACAAGTAGATGGAAGTAAAAATAAAGCAATCTTACCAGTGTGACCTTGCCGACTAAAGCAACACAAGCCAGTATTTGGTTCAGGCTTAAGTCTATTTTGGTCTCTTCTGCATGCATAAGATTCTTCACTCTTTGAAATTATCATCCCTGCAAATAGGAATTATTATTATTCCATATGGAAAGAAAATCAACTGGGACATCAACCCTTAAAAAAGTTGCAGCCTGGACAATCAAACTTCCTTTCTGTGCTTGGATTTGTTGTCCAGAAAACCAGGAGAAACTCCCTTCTCTTTTTGAATCCAGCTGAACAAGCGGATGGAACCTTGTTTTGAATAATAATAATAATCCTTGTATTTGCACTTTTCACATCTTCTTGACATCTCAAAGCGCTTCACAGAATGGACTGTAAAATGAATTGACCGTATATTTGTGGTTTGAAGTCTCTTCCGAAGGCCGGCACCTTTGATAATTCAACACAAGAGCAAATGCACTGAAGCAACCTCTAAATCACACAAGGAGAGAAATTTCTATCGGAGGTGGGTGAGTACGTGTTATTCTCTTTCCATGTAACTCAGGGTAACCGTTCCTATATAATCCAGTGTTCATTCTTTCTCACCTGATCAGACTTCGGATCAGACTCGAGTGTTATAATCTTCGCGTTTGACATGGCTCCTTTCACATTCGACAAAGCAGCTTCGCAGGCGAAGCGCGGGAGCTAATTTGCACACAGCAAAATGCCCCACAATCAGGTTCCCATAAAGCATTTTAAAAACCATTATAGCAAAGGAGAAGTGAAATACTTAATAGAGAACAATAGAAAAAAGGGTAGCCACATAAACGGGAAGAGGTCTGTTCACTATGGAAGGACACACAGACTCAACCGATGGCTACGTTTACAGCACTAGAACCTTGCAACAACAATAATCCTTGCATTTGGTATATTGCTTTATCAGGCCCTTCAGCCACTCTGTCCCCACCCTCTGGAACTCCATCCCGAGGTCTCTCTGCCTTGCCCCCTCCTTTGCCTCCTTCAAGACCCGTCTCAAGACCCGAGACTTCGACCGTAACCCTCATTCCCCCACCCTACCATCCACCCTCCCCGATCCCCAGCTCAGGTCTGAAACACTGATTGTCCAGCGCCTTGGGATGTCCTCCCGCTGTTAAAGGTGCTATACACATATAATTTTGTTTTTGTTGAGATGTCTCAAAGCGCTTCACAGAATATACTGTAAAGTGGCTTGATTGTATATTTTGTGCGAAACAAGCAGCGAGGTTGCAGCTTTGAATTAATATCTTTGCTGAGGTGATCTCAGTCAGGGTAGCAACTTGAAAAAAAGCATACAATTGAGTTTGGTATTTCTTCCTCCCTCTGTGAGCTATGGAAGGGAAAGTTAAGACACGTTTGTAGCTGAGCTGGAGGTTGGATTCACTAAGGGTGGGAACCAAAAGGGTGGGGTGGGGATGGGGGAAGGGAAAAGGTGATTAAAAGCATGGTAAAAGAGGAAGGTCTTCAAACAGGCCTTAGAGGAGGCAAATGTAAGCTTGTTTGCTCATGTAGGTCTGCAAACCACACGTGCACATGACAATTTGCCGTTTAAAAGGCCCCAGTGACTGAAGATGATCTTTGGTGCCGCTCTGTGGCCAAAACAATCCTTGCACCAAACAGCATTTTAAGAACAAAGTTCAAAGCCAGGCTGATATTTGAAATGTCTCCATGTAACAGGCAGTGTTTTGCTTTCAAAAATAAAGAATGAGCTATTTTATGTATTAATCCATCAATCTTTCCATGAGCAAATTGATTTAATCAACAGATGGGGGGGAAAAGACACAACTTATCTGGACCTTCTCAAGTGTCCTTTTAAAAGCCAGTAAGTCAGGTACTATGGAACAGGCGCCACTACAATCACACTAAACAGTCTGTTAGTTTGCATCAGTAAACTCACCTCTTTTCCGAACCTTTAGTGTAAAACCCCCTCTTCTTACCTTCACTCCCAGGAACGTATGAATTGTGGATGTGAAAGTTCGATTGCGCCTTCAGCCACCTTCCTACGCCCCTCCCTCTACCTTCCCGATTGCAACGCCCTGCTCGGGTCCAAATCCCCGACTGTCCAGTGCTCTGGGATGTCCTCATGACATGAAGGGCGCTATACAAATGTAATTTGTTGCTGTCGTTCCTAGCCTTGTGTTCTGAACCATGGGAATCAAATAAAAGTAGCCCGGCATTATCTTTCCCTGGTTCCACTGGGTGCAGCTCAATCAGGGAAGAGCTCAGCAACATGGACAATTGAAACCCACATTGTTGTTGCTTGCAGTTTATGGCCTAAGGAAGCTAAACCACAAACATATCACACGTGAATCGAAGTTAAATGAAATTCCACGCAACAGAAGGCAGTAGGCATCAGTGTGTTTATTTAGGCTAAAAAGAAAATATCAAATTACTTGTGTATTATCTGTTACATCAATAATTAAATACGTCACCACATACAGATGGATAATGAAACATAATAAGGTTACAGAACATTCCGTCACACATCCATTGATTTTGATCCCAGATTTCTAGAATGAGTAAGCATTATGTAGCGTTTTAATCATAAAACGTAAGTCTTTACTGCAAACTGTAACTTAAACCCACTCGATAGATTATCTGGAGTCTGCAGTCTTTCTCCATCATTGTTTTAGACTGCTGAGACTTCCACTTTTAAGATTATGAAATTCATAGAAAAATAAAAAAGTTAGTGAATTCGGATCTTGGGTCATTTGGGCTAATTTTATTTTCTTGCTTATTATTATTGTGACCTGATCTTGTTTTGATCCAAGTTAATCGCTGCAGAGGAAAACATGCAAATGAGGGTCAAGTCAGCATTGGCAATGAATGCCAACCAGCAGGGCACAGAACAGACAATGTCAAGGAAAATCTGATTTAAACATATCACCAGTTTTCACTTACCATCTTTTTCCCGCTCATCTTCTAATCCCACATCTTTTTCCTACATCAAATGTCACATTGAGGGAACGTGTTCTATAAAATGTCAATTCAGCTGCGTTTACTTACACACTTTTAAGATATTTTGTGACTAAATGACTTGTTACTGTGGGGGGAGCTGGAGCAATGTGGACTGACCGGATGGTAAATAGGTTACGTTACGGGATCTAGAGAGTTGGTAGGCGATATCTTCAGCTGCTTCAAGTTTGCGGAGCTCAATCAGACCCTCTCCAGCGTGGGATAAAGAATTGGCGATTAATTCGGCTGCTTTGGAATCTCCCTCTGCGGAAATGATGGCTGCTTTCTTCTGCTGTTCGGCCTTTTAAAATAAAATTTAAAAAAACCATGATGCTGTAAAATGATTTATGGTTGGATTGAGTCAAAGAAAATACATTCCATTCGAAGAATGAACAACTGGAAAACTCAGCAATGTGTCAGTTCTTTTCACAAAAGCAATTGTGCAATTAAGAGTCAAAGAACATCCCTTTTCAAAACGGTACTCTCCATGTTCAGCTGCTGAATGCAAAGGCATCTGCGTATTACTCCAAGCCTCGGCGTTATCTCTATCTCCTGCTCTGTGCTATGAGATCACCAGCCAGGACTATAGTGGGAACACTATAAAGAGACATTCTGTATCTACCGCAGGGCCAAAGTTGAAAGAAACGAAGGGTAAACACCCAACTGGTATCTAGTGACCTCTGGTGGTATAATAATAATCTTTGCATTTGATATAGCCTCATCACATCGTTGGGTGGTCTCAAAGCGCTTCACAGAATATACTGGAAAGTGAATTGACTGTATATTTTGTGGGTGAAACGCAGCAGCCAATTGCGCACAGCAGCATCCCACGAATAGTCGTGGATTGAGGGACCAATTATTTTCTTTGAAGGAATTATTACCCCCAAAAAGTGATTCACCAATCGAAAAACAGCTGAGTTCCTACTTTCTGTTAGAAAAACAGGCGCTTGGAATAAGGAAACTTGCCCTGAGGTGTGGATGATGGACGAGATTAGCACTCACTGAATAAACGCAAATGGAACTGTGCTCTGATGGATGTGGTGCGCGAGCCAAATGGGAGAGGATTTTCACAATGAATACTGTCCAGAGTTTAGGTACAACAGCAACAACAACTCCTATTTATATAGCGCCGCTCGCACAGGCTAGAGTCCCAGAGATAGTACGTGAAACGACCAGTTATTTTGCCAGTTGTGACTGGCCAGCAAGTATTGTGTAAAACTACGGCAATGACAAACAGAGATAAGCACTCACCTTTTCCACCACAAACCTGGCCCTCTCGGCTTCCTGCTGTGCTACCTGCTTCAGCTCAACAGCCTCAGTGAATTCTTTGCCAAAGGTTAAGTGAGTCTGAGGAAAAAGAAAATTCGGAATCATTTTAGAAAAAAAACGACAGACAACAACAACTTGCATTTATATAGCGCTCTTCACATTGGGTAGCGTCCTGGAGCGCTTGACAATGACCCCGAACCAGGTGGAGAGAGGGGGGGAGGTGACTGCAAGCACAATCAAGAAAAAGGTCTTTAGGTGGGATTTAAGTGGGCAGAGAGGGGGCAAGGTGGAGGGATAGAGGGAGCTCCAGAGCGTAGTGACTGAAAGCACGACTGCCAATTGATGGCGGAGCGGAGGGGGCGAAGGACAAACAGGAGGCTGGAGCCAGCTGAGCAGGAGCAGTGGAGTGGTGGCGGGGACGGGGTGGGGGGGGTAAGCAAATCAGATTTGTAGGGAGGTGCGAGGGCATGAAAGGATTTGAAAACAAGTGAGAGGACAGATAGGACAACTGGAACAATAATAATTTGTGCGTCTGATAAACGGGCTGCACATTCTTGTGTTTTTTTTNGGTCAACCGGGTATCTGACATGTATGGGAATCCGTTGCCATACTTAAGAGTATCCAAACTGAGCTCCACATATGCACATGGAAATCTCCCCACATGTCTTGAATGGAATGGGTGCTCTCTGGAAGATTGTTGGCCAAGGGTCCCAGGAAAAACAATCCTTGAATAGCGTTGTGGGATCTTTAATGCCTGTCTACCTGAACAGGCAGAAGGGATCTCGGTTTAATGTCACATTTTTAACAGAGCTGCTCTTCCTCTCAGCCCTGCACTCTATTGCAGCATCAGCCTCAATCATGTGCAGACAAGCGGTTTGAATCCACAACCTTTGGACTCGCAGGCGAGAGCGCTACGAACTGAGACAGGTTGAGACTAAACCAAGAGTAAAGGGTGGAAAGTAAGGGAAAAGCTACAATATAGTTACCAGAGACACATCATCCAGGATGAGTCCAAAAGTGGCAGCTCTCTCATTCAGGTCCTCACTGACCTGCCTGGACACCAGCTCTCTCTGTGTGATCAGGTCACTAGCATCGAACCGGGCCTTGAAAGAGATTTATGTCAAATTATTTTTGAAAAGAGCTACATTATTGGATTAATAGCAATATCTAAACTATAATAATAATCATTGCATTTGATATAGAGCTTTATCACGCATTTGACACGTCTCAATGTGCTTCACAGGATACACTATAAAGTGGATTGACCATATTTGTCCAGAAATTGGGCTAACTTTTTTTTTTAGGCCCCATCCTCACTTGGCTACATTTCACCCCTATCCAACAACAACAAGATTACATTTGTATAGCGCCTTTCACGTCGGGAGGAATTCCAAAGGCGCTTTCTCCATTCGGCCTCGCTCAATTGGTGTATTCACAATTGGTGAGAGCTTTCAGCCATTCTGCCCTGCTCTCTGGAACTCCCGTGTCGAAGTCTCTCCAACTCACCCTCCCCACTTCGAAGCATGCCTTAAGGCCTTCCTTTTCGACGGCACTTTTGTTCCCCCTCTTCCCCCACCCACCCATCCTGTGGAGTGCTTTGAGGTGGCCTCCTGACATGAAAGGTGCTATATAAGTGTAAAATTGTCGTTGGTGGTTGCGTTAATATTATTAAACGTTTAAAATAGTCCCTTTAAAGTAAGTGGGCTACCCATTGTGGTCTGTCACAATATTTTCAAGGGATCAATTGAGAGCAGAATGTCAGTGCAGTGTGAACCAAAACAAGGGCTGTGAAAATAATGTCCTTAAGGTAATTTCAACAGCAGCCCCACTTTTTTTTTTAAAAGCATGAATTGCAAACAAAACATTGCAAGACATGGTAGATGTTAATCTCATTAATACTGTATTAATACCTCTCCTTCCCCCCACCCACCACACACTCTCACACACACACAAAATCACTTACTACTACAGACTTCAGGATTTCTGTTGTGATTGACGGAAGGACTCTTTCATCATAATCTTCACCAATGCTGGTGTAAATCCTAGGAAGCTCGTCAGCCACTGGTCTGAACAGGATACGCAGTGTTATGTTTACATTCTGTAAATCTAAAAGCAGAGAATTTTTTTAAAAATAAGGTTAATGTGCAATAAACTGTGAAAAGTTCCAGGCAGAGGGCGAAACCTTGGGCAAGTTTCCTTACTCCACACAGAGCCTAATAATAATCCCTCCAAAAACTAAAAACAATAATTAAATTGGTCATTTTCAATCTACGACTGTTTGTGGGACATTGCTGTGCGCAATTGGCTGCTGCGTTCGCCCACAAATATACAGTCAATTCACTTTACAGTGTGTTCTGTGAAGCGCTTTGGGACGCCCTCCCGACGTAAAAAGCGCTATATCAAATGCAAGGATTATTATTATTATTATTATAAAAGTCACAATTGTTTGTCGGGTCAGTCCTATTTCTCCATCCATCCACAAACTCCACCTCCATTGAATACACTCTTGAAACTGTTAACACTTAACAATGTTAAGTGAATTGACCGTATATTTTGCGAGCGAAACATGGTAGCCAATTGCGCACAGCAGTGTCCCACAAGCAGTTGTGGATTGAGTGCCAATTTATTTATTTTTTGAAGGAATTATTATTAAATAGCTGAAAGTACTCTCTCCAGAAGTACATGTGGTTTCTATTGAGTAATTTTCAGCCATACAAAGATTTCCTATACCCAACACATGAAAAAAATTACAGCTTCCATCGTACTTTACTGAAACCCAATCGGAAGACATTGCTCTTTATTCATCTCCATCACAGACCAAACTGAGGGCATCACTAACCGCTTAAGACGCTGCTAACTGTATGACTAATAATTGTACAGTTGTACAATTCTTTTGCTTGTTGTACGCTCACCTTTACTACCAGTGACAACTGGAACATTCCGTGGCCGGGAGCGGCAATCAAAGATGATTGGTTTTTGTACCCATGGAATAAGAAAGTGGGTCCCTTCTCCAACCACCAGCTCCTGAATCCCACGAAACCGATCAAATATCACAGCTCTGTGTCCGGCATCAACTGAGTACATAAAATGGATTAAATATCAATTGAGCGGCAAACATCACACAGCAAATACAATCACCGTCAGCGCCTTGGGACGTCCTCCCAACGTGAAAGCCACTATACAAATGTAATTTTGCTGTTAATTGTTTGGCGACCAATACAGAACCACTCCATTTGATGGCAATTACCTGTGAAAATCCACTGTTGTTATGGGCGCCCATGTCAATCAAACGCAAGGACAATTATCATGACCGGGTCTGAGCTGTGAAAGATGCCCCACTCCCCATTGCGTGGTGTCTTACAGCCGCAGAGAAGGGTTTAGAATCGTAAAATTATACAGCACAGAGGAGGCCATTTGACCCATCGGGGGTCCGCCCCGGCGCTTCGAAAAGAGCTTCCAACTGGTCCCGCTCCCCCCGCGCTCCCCCCGCAGACTTGTCCCCCCCAAATATTTATCTAATTTGGGTTTCATTCCATAAGAGTGGGTTGAAGGTTAACGCGGGGAGATCGGGAGGGCCGGTGAGGGTCAGACTGTACTAATATAAAGGCTGATCACCGCGTTGAGACGCCTCAAAGCGACTTCACGGAATACACTGTGCAGTGGACTGTGACTTGTGCAGTTTGGACAAGTTTTGAGAACCTCGAGGGCGGCTCAGGCCGTCCTCCTCCTCCTCCTCCTCCTGCCCCCCGGGTGCCGGGCAAGGACACGGGGGGGGGGGAGGGGGGAGCAAGGACTCTCCTCCTCACCCCCGACCCCCGGGGGGATGGGGGGGCGCTCACCGTTATAAAGCGCCGAGTTGACGACCCCTCCGGCGAGGGCCACTCCGAGGCCGAGCTTCCCGATGGTTTCCAAGAGCCTGGCGGCCATTGCCGAGCCGGTTCACACCACACACAGCCGGGAAGGAGGGAGAGAGAGAGAGACACGGGCTGTGAGGCCTAGAGTCGGCGCCTGGGTCACCTCCACACCGTGATTGCCTGCAGCCGCACCGCGCATGCTCGCACGCCGTGCATTCTGGGAGTTGTAGTTCTTTCACCACCCGCTTTTGCGTCATTGCTGGCCTGGCCTATGCGTGTCGCGGTGTCTTCTGGGGGCTGTAGTCGCTCCCCAGCGTCAATGGCTGTCTGGGTCGTTGGGTGCCGCGGTGCATCCTGGGGGCTGGTGGCTCACCCACCGTCCCCTGCCGAACTACAACTCCCGACATGCTCCGCGCGCACCAGCCAATCAGGCTCCTCCCCCACACACACCCACTGCAAACCCACGTGGAGAGGCAGAGAGCAATGGCAATCCTTCCCTCTTTGCCTTTCCTTTGCTGAAGGGTCGGTTTGCATCAATAATAATTATTATTATAGTGATAATTATAATAATAATCATTGATAATAATCCTTGCATTTGATATAGCGCCTTATCGCGCCTTCGGGTCATCTCAGAGGCGATATTGTAAAGTGTACTGTAGTGACTGTGTTTTTGTGGACAAAATGCGGAAGCCGATTGTGTACAGCCGTAAGGGTTTGCTCGGCGAGAGAAGACCAAGGTCCACCCAGCTGGCCTGCCGCCATCCTGGCAGTCACATGATATGTTGTGTCCCAAAGTCTATTATATCCCGAGATATTATTTCCTATACGACCAGTTAGTGTGTGTCCTTCAAAACTTATTTCTAGCCCAGCAGTTACCCTCGGGACATCCTCCCGACTTGAGAAAACACAGAACCATTGAAATTTAACACAGAATAGTCTGTGGTGGTTCCCTTACGAGCAATCCTTTCAGTCTCATGTACCTGCCCTTTCACTTTTCCGGGATTGATAATCCCTCCCAAAAAATAATAATTTGGTCACTCAATCCACGGCTGTTTGTGGGACACCGCTGTGCACAATTGGCTGCCGCGTTTCACCCACAAAATATACAGTCAATTCACTTTACAGAATATTCTGTGAAGCGCTTTGAGACGTCTCAAAGATGTGATAAGGCGCTGTATCAAATGCAAGGATTATTATTATCCTTGTTCAAGTTTGTAAATAAATTTACAACCTAATTGAAAAGGAATGTATTCAATAAAGGGGTATAATATGGATACATTGTAATAAAATGTAAACAGCTTTTGCAATATGTGGTGAGAAAAGGATATATATACGGTAGCAACAAAAGATTGACTAACATGAAACAAGCCTGCAGGAAGCATCAAGCAGGTTGCCACAATTTGTCCTTATCTCCAGAATGTCTTGCTCTGCTGTGGCTGTGCGGGCATAGTCCTGCGATGATTTACAAAACTGTCTGAAGCAAAGAGAAGCTTAAGGCAGATCTGAATTTGATGCAGCAACGTGGCACAATTAATAACTAGTCTTAGAAAATACCGTTGGCTTTCTTCCTATTGATAATAATGATAAGCCTGGCATTTGATATAGCGTCTTATCATGTCATCGAGACGCCACACAGCATTTGACAAGATTCACCTCAAAGCGTTTCTTAACTGTGTATTTTATTGACGAAACGTAGCAGCCAGTCTGCGCACAGCAATGTCTCACAAACAGCCACAACCGGAGTGAGCGACCAACACGCACTCTGAATCTGATAAAATATAAAACAAATGTGTTGGTCTTTAACTTACTTGTCTGCAATGTGAACTTGAAGACGAGTTGGCAATAAGCCACAGCCTTTAAAGATACGTTCTTTATCACAAGGAATGGTTACTTAGACAATCATGCAACATTTAAATGCCTATTTTTATGATCAATTGAAAGCGTTGTTCTTTTCTTCCGAGCCTTTGTCAAATAAAATGTGAACTTTAATAGCCGGCCCAGTGCCAGATGCCGGTGGCAAGCAAGTATTGACTTTGCATTGAAGAAAAACAATGCAGAGATCTCGATCGCTCTTCACCCACAGAATCTTATGAAACTGACTCACAAATGTCATGTGGTAAATGATAGACTTCTGAAAGCAATTGCCACAAAAAGAGGATTTTTGTGTTCTGACAACTACAAAGGGATTCTGCTATTATTGTGACTTCAAGACCCTCCAGCGGAGTGTACTTTTCTGATAAATATCAGCATTCACAAGCTCTGAAATTACGCTTTAAGCAATAATCAGTCCGGTGACCAGCCAAGCTGCTGACAATTAATTTTGCTTGTGTTCCTTAAATCGTGTTGTCATCATGCTTGCGTTTGAGATTTAGTCATCTTTTGTGTCCTTTTTTGGTTGGGTAACAAAGCAATTTTATTAATAATCTCGTAAAGCTAGATAAAATAACTGAAATGTTAAATACACCAAATTTCACATTGCTTGATTTCTAGTTTATTTGCAGCAACGGTTTAGCAAACCAATGTTTTATTTCTTTTCACAGTGTGAGCAAAGCGCACTGTTAAATTACAGCGAGGAATTATCTGTCGTAGCCAGCACGCAGAAAAAAAATTTTCGTACAAAAAATTCCGTGTCAGCAGCACTTGTGAAACACAGTCCTCTCAGATTTCATATTCTGCTTCCCCTCATTAAAAAATAATGGACCACGGGATTAATAATCCTTACATCTCCTACAGCGCCTTTCATGTCAGCAGGACGTCTCAAAGTGATTCACGGGATTTACAGTAAAGTGTATTGGCTGTGTGTTTGTGCGGGCGAAAGCTGAACGGAAAGAAGATCAAAATAGTCAAAGAAACAGTGTGAAAGGAACAGGAGGAGAATGATAACTGGTAATACAGTATTGAAAACCATAATTAGCAACAACAACTTGCATTTACACAGCACCCCTCACGCAGGGTAGTGTCTCGGAGGCGATTGACACTGACGGAGCCTGATGCCGAGCCGGGGGGAGGGGGGAGGTTAGTGTAGGGACTGTCGAAGAGGAACGTCTTCGGGCACGACCTGAAAATGGGGACAATCATCCCTGCTGATTGACGTGAAGTTCCAGCCGTGACCATGTGGGGGAGGTGTTGCCATGTGTTTCTGGGCCGGGGCGATACCAGTGCGAAGCCACAACAAAGAGGGTTTGAGGTGGAAAAAGATCCTTTGAGAATAATACCTGATGTCTCACAGTTTGCAACACACGCGGAACGATCTGATTACGCTTTAACCATAAGAGCAAAACCTGCGAAGTTTGTGAATGAAACTCGCGGGCGGCTGAGTTTTATTGTGTCCTTCATTACTCTCAGCGACTGCTCGATTCTCTTATAGGATTTGCAAGTGTTCGGTTGTGTTTTTTTTCTGTCTGTGAAAATTTCTTTTTTTAAATTTTGCCGTTAAAATCTTATCCTCTGAATATTCTGAGTGTTTCCAAGTAACAAGAACAACTTGCGTTTATATAGCGCCCTTCACGCAGGGTAGCGTCCCAGAGCGGCAGTCCTTTTATTATAATAATCCCTGATTTTGAAACCTCTCCAAACACTTCACTGTTTTTTTCCTGACAAGTGTCGTGACTGTGTACATTTGTAGGCAAATGACTTGGCAAATGAACTTGCGCACTGCAATGTCTCAGAAACAGCCCGGAAGTGAATGATCCATTTTTCTGGAGAATTTTTGGCCAAGACATAAGAAACCTATCATTAGGTGGTGGTTGTTGTTGTTAAATGTATGGATTTACATCAATAAAGTCTGAATGACAAATCAACGAGAGATGGGAATCTGCTCATGTGAGTTAAATGTACGTCTTCAATCCATGGCTGTTTGTGGGACTGCTGTGTGCAATTGGCTGCCGTGTTTCGCCCACAAAATATACAGTCACTACACTTTACAGTATATTCTGTGAAGCGCTTTGAGACGTCTCGAAGACGTGATAGGATGGTGTATCAAATGCAAGGATTATTATTGTTATTATTATTAATATCTTCAAACAAGGAAACTTCTGAAAGACATTTTGAATTGTAAAAGGATGTCGAGTGAATACGGTCCTAATGATGGCATGGATAACACCGATGGTGTTACTCGGGAGGCAGCTGAAAGCATTTAGGTCTAATGCCAATCACTGCAACTGACAGGACAGTATAATAACTATTATCTCCGCTCATTCTTTTTTTACACACGCACACATCCTACTTCCCTTCCACACCAAAATGCTAGGCAGTTTTTTCTTCACAGATTCAAGAGCATAAACCGCTGTGATAATTGCTGGCTCGGGTCCAAAACACTGACTGTCCCCACCGTGATTCACACACAAGGAAAATGACTCATCAAAGCCTCCATTATTATTATTATGGTAATTGTAATTCTGACAGTTTTCTACCGAGACACAGATGATAATAACAGGCTGTTTTGTCAAGAGTGTATCTCGATTCTGCTTCTCCAAAGGGCACGGCTCTTATGACAAATTATTTGGACAACTTTTTTTCCATCAAGTTACAAACACACGCTCCATTAACGGAAACCACATTGCCAGTTCATCGTTTGAACTCATTTGATCCTACAACCCATTTTGAGACCCCCCCCAAAAACGCAACTTGCACTCAGTGCTGACCCACTACGTGACACCGTTTGATAAAGTGATGAAGAGGATCAAGGGAAACGGGGCAAAGGCGAGTAATTGGAGTTGAGTTACAGATCAGCCATGATCTAACAGAATGGCGGAACAGGCTCGAGGGGCTGAATGGTCTACTCCGATTCCCGTGTTCCTACACCAACAACAACTAGGTGCATTGGTGTACAGGATAGTGTCTCGGAGCGCTGCACAGTGGCGGGGTTGGACGCCGAGCAAGGGAGAAGGGCGAGGGGACAGTAGGTATGGTCGAAGTTATTAAAAGCCGATTTATGAAATCCAACCTCCCCGATCCTGACCCCCAGCTCAGGTCCGAAACATTGATTGTCCAGCGCCTTGGGGTGTCCTCCTGACGCGAAATGTGCTGTGTAGATGCAGTTTTGTTGTTGCTGGTGTTTGGGAATCTTCCCATTTATTTAGAAAACAGGATTTTGTTGCCAAAAAATGGTACATTGAAGCTTAAGACTAAATAGTCATTTCCCCTCGTAAATGTGTAACAGGATGCCAAGCACTGATCTTTAGGATTCGCAGTTTATTTGCAGGGGGA